TAGCACCTACTAGCCTAAGTGCTGGCTGGATAGTGGGGTCAGTTGGGCTGAGCTAAGCTCAAATGCCCAATGATGCATAAGAGACGCAAACTGGATGCAGGACTGGATCAGTCTGCTGCACATAAGGGTATGCATAGGAACCAGGACTGGAGGCAGGCCTGGTGGGGGCTTTTGGAAGTTGTTCGGGCTGGGTTGAGTTCTTACTGGTGTGCATGAGGGCCAAGTGTGTGATGAACAAGGTAGGGCTGGGCCACAGCATCCACTGGTTTGCAACGAAATGGGGCTGGGGACAGAACTGACCCAGCAATTCCAACAACCAGTGTGTGTGTAGGCTGATGCAGCTGACAAACTAAGATGGACTCCACAATGGCTGACACACACAGGAGTCAGGTCTGGGGTCACCACAGGCAAGGTTTCTTTGGGGACCGTCCTCCCCCACCCCACAGCCAACTGGAACACTGGACTCAAAACTCTGGCCACAGGGAAAATCACAGGATCTGTAGTTTGACCTTGGAGTTGTGTGTTCAAAGTGGGCCTCCTCAGTTGCTGAAGACTACGCAGTGGACAGCATGCCCAGGTGCACATAGGGGACATGACAGCTCACTGAGTTCTGCAAAGACATCTAGTATAAAAAGTCATAATGTGGGCCTGGCACGGTGGCCTAGTCGCTAAAGTCCTCGTCTTGAATGCCCCAGGATCCCATCTGGGCACTGGTTCTAATCCCAGCAGCTCCACTTCCCATCCAGCTTCCTGCTTGTGGCCTGGGAAAGCAGTCCAGGACAGCCCAAAGCCTTGGGACCCTGCACCCGTGTGGGATACCCAGAGGAAGTTCTTGGATCCTGGCTTCGGACTGGCATAGCATCGGCCGTTGCGCTCACTTGGGGAGTGAATCATCGGACGGAAGATCTTCCTTTCTGTCTCTCCTCCTCTCTGTATACCTGACTTTCCAATAAATAAATAAATCTTTTAAAAAAAAAAGTCATAATGGAGCACAAAACAACTTGGACAATTCCCCTCGCCAAGCTTTGACAGCAAGTATCTGGGTGAATGGCGACTCAAAGTGGACTATGTCAGCCAAAGAACCTTGGAAGGATTTCCTCAACCTTGGAGCAATGAAATCAACAGCGTTTCAGAAATACTGAACCACTTAAGCAGCACCTTTGGAACATGCTCCACTTTGGGGATCCTAGAATAACATCAAGTGGCATTCCCCAACCCCAGGTACTGACAGAACCAATCAGGCTGTTGGGAGCTGTCCTCTTCCTTGTCTCATTTCCCACAGACATAAGAGGGGAAAAAAAGGAGGATGAAACAATTATCTCACCCACCTTTTCCCATACCTCAACCTTTTCCAACCTAGTAAGTGGTCCACATGGCCGTGTATCCTTCTCAACTATGTAAACAATACCAAAAATAAAACAATTATTTAAAAGTTTAAATACAAGTGGAACAGCCAGGATTCAAACCAGTATTCAAATGGGAAGCCAGCACGGTAGGTGACAGTTTAATCCGCTGTCTCACCACACCACCCATATCATTCCATCTTCCTATTACTAACATCTTCAATTAGGAATATTAAATTCTCACTCCTGGGGTCAGTGTTACTACAAAGTAGGTTAGACTACTGCTAGACAATGGATTCAACCTTGCAGTACTGATTCAACTCTCAAATTACTCCATTTTTTTCTTTTAATTTTAGACTTATTATTTATTTTTATTGCAAAGGCAGATTTACAGAAAGAATTTCCATTTGCTGACTCACTCCCCAAGTTGTTGCAATGACCCGGAGCTGAGCTGATCCGAAGCAAGAAGCCAAGAGCTTCTTCTAGGCCTCCCATGCCAGTGCAGAGTACCAAGGCTTTGAGCCGTCCTTGACTGCTTTCCCAGGCCACAAGGAGGGAGTTGGATGGGGAGTGCAGCAACCAGGACACAAGTCAGTGCCCATAGGGATGCCAGGGCATAAAGGTGAGGACTTTAGCCTCTGTGCTACCATGCAGGACCCTATTACTCCATTTCTGAGTAGAGCTTCCCTCTAATACATCTGGGAAAATGGCTTGTCTATCACCCATGTGGAAGACCAGGACAGAGTCCCTGGCTCCTGGCTTCAGCTTGGCCCAGACCTGACTATTCATTTGGCAAGAAGATAGCTCCTTTGTTCCCCTTCTCTGGTCATGAGGTCTTTTAAATAAACGGATAAATGTTTTAAAAATAAAAAATACTCCTACTAAGTACTGATTGGCTATAAACTGCATTATATGGTGAAGCTGCAAATATCCATTCTAGAGAACACAGTATGCTGAACTATCAAAACCTCATGAGCAGGCCCCTCAGCACATGCGCCACACTGAGGACCTCTGTGTGGCTTTAGGTGGCTGTCCTCCATCCCAGGGTACAGAGGTATTTTCGAGAATGGGTATGGCTTCTCTCCTTAACTCCCCCAGATACAGAAGGAAAAAGAGAATGTGGAAATAGTAATCTCACCCACCTTTCTGTAGCCCTTGATCATAATCACCCAAATCAACTATGTAAAAAATCATCAAAAGTAAAAATAATTTTTAAGGGCCCAGCGAGATAGCGCAGTGGTCAAAGTCCTTGCCTTGCACGTGCCAGGATCCCATATGGGCGCCGGTTCTAATCCCGACAGCTCCACTTCTCATCCAGCTCCCTGCCTGTGGCCTGGGAAAGCAATTGAGGACAGCCCAAAGCTTTGAGACCCTGCACCTGTGTGGGAGACCCAGAAGAGCTCCTGGTTCCTGGCTTCGGATTGGCTCAGCTCCAGCTATTGTGCTCACTTGGGGAGTTAACCATTGGACTCAAGATTTTCCTCTCTCTCTCCTCCTCTCTGTATATCCATCTTTCAATAAAAATAAATAAATCTTTAAAATAATATTAATAATTTTTATATAAAAGGGAGAACACTGTAATTCTATCCCTAGAGATGTTTTTACGGGGCCAGCACAATGGCTCAATGGCTAAGTGCCAGGATCCCATATGGGCACTGGTTCGTGTCCCAACTGCTTGACTTCTCATCCAGCTCCCTGCTTGTGGCCTGGGAAAGCAGTTGAGGACAGCCCAAAGCCTTGGGACCCTGCACCCGAGTGGGAGACCCAGAAGAGGCTCCTGGCTCCTGGCTTCAGATTGGCTCAGTTCCAGCCACTGGGGCCACAAGGGAAGTGAGCCTGCGGACTGAAGCTGTTTCTCTTTGTACCTTATTCTCTCTGTACATTTGCCTTTCCAATACAACAATTAAATCTTTTAAAAAATTAGAAATCCATGTATACAAGTGATTTTCAAAAACCTTCATGGAAATGTATAGTACAAAATGCCCACAAATTTCAAAATTCTCTGCACCAAGATAGATTTATCTTTTTTTAGAAAGTTTTTTTAAAGGTTTATTTATTTTTATTGCAAAGTCAGAGATATACAGAGAGGAGGAAAGGCAGAGAGGAAGAACTTCCTTCTGATGATTCACTCCCCAAGTGACCGCAATAGCCAGTGCTGCGCCAATTTGAAGCTAAGAGCCAGGAATTTCCTGCAGGGAACTAGATGGGAAGTGGAGCTGCTGGGATTAGAACCAGTGCCCAGATGGATCCTGGGGCATTCAAGGCGAGGACTTTAGCGACTAGGCCACCGTGCCAGGACCAAGATAGATTTATCTTTAATTCTACTTCCTACATACTTTTTGAAGTGCTCTTACATACAGAAACGTATTTCACAAACTTAAGAGAGAGAGAGAGAAATAGGGCCAACAAGCAGCCCAACCTGTAAGATGCACACGTCCCACATTGGGGTCCCAGACAGCTTCATTCCCAGGCTCTGGCCCCTCACTCCCACTCCCTGCTTCTGCGGGTTCTGGGAGGCAGCAGTGACCCTAAGTACCTGGATTCCGGCCATTCACATGGAAAACCTGACTTGCTTTCTGGCTCCCAGCTTCTGCCAGCTCCAGCATTTGAGACAAAAACTGAAGTACAATACATAAGTAAGAAAAAAATACCAGGGGTAGGTTCTGTGACACCCAGCTTTCGGCTAATGTACTCTCAGGGAGGCAGCACGGGACAGCTCAAATACCTGCATTTTTGCCACCCCGGACTGCGCACTCAACTCCTGTTTGCACCGAGGCCTAGCCCAGGCAACTAAAGGCATTTGGGGAATGAACCCCAGAAAGACGCATGCGACAGCACGCGTTTGCTCACTCTCTGTCGCTCTGTCGTCAAGCAAAATCTAATAAACATGAGCTCTTGTAGTTACAGTCTAGCTGACCTACAGAATGATGCCAAACGACCGTTTCTTTCCCTTTTCAGCAAAGACAGTAGACTGTTATCTTCTCATGCAGACACCTCAGTTAACAGAAATCACAATCAAAAGGGACAGCTGGGGAAAAACCCTAGAAGCATTTAAATGATGCTTAAAGACAATGTCAAGAATCTGAAACAAAAACAGAGGTCAGGTGTTAGTCAACACCTCACTCGGAGGCTCAGAAACCAGAGGTCACCGAGGCAGCAGACAGGCAAGGAGCACAGACAGCGGAACAATCCACACCGAGTCAGCAGAAACCCAGCATGCAGTCTCACACACAGGAACGCGTCCGGGCCATCACCGAGTCCCCACCCAAAGCCCCTTCTCGTTCTTTTGTGGAATAAATCAAGTTTACCAGAAAATGTAACCACTACTGGGCCTGTGGTTTGGAAGAACCCAAATTATCAAAGCACTAAGACATCCACCGAGCAGGTTAATCTTGACAAGCTTATCGAAACATTATTCACAAATTCAAAATGAGGAGTCCAAACTGACTTCATAAAGACAGATAATAAACTCAGAGCGGGGAGCTCTAAACCGAGCTGCTTCCCTGAGAAGCGCCAGGTGCCTGCAGGGCCGAGGCAGCAGGCCACGACTCCACGCTGCGGCCCCGTGGGGCTTCTGCCCGTGCTAGGTCATGTGTCATCACGACCAGGGGATAACGGTGCCCACGGACGTCCAGCCCATCAACAATTTACACTCACCGGTCACCATGCTGCATGTATCTCTGCTGCTTGTCCTGAGGTCTTAAGACTTCTAACATTCTGAAGAAGACAGAACAAAGAAGTTCCTTCCACCCTCAGCTTCTGACCGTCGTACCTCGCTCTCAAATAGACCCAGCTAGCAGCCACAACTACCCGGTCACTTTCCCTCAGGTTTCTATTTTATTTTTTTTCCTCATGAAGCAATACCAAGACACACACAGTGGCAGCTGTTTAGTGTTGGGGGGCGGGGGCAGACACCTACTCGCCTAGGACAAACCTTAGGACCTCAGGGGAGGGGGAAGGAATGGAAACCCTAAACCAATGGTGACTTTTACAGAAATACATTACAGAGTTGAGAAATTTCTCCCCCAGAGAGTTTTGAAATCGCAGTAATAAGAATAAAAGCGTTTATACTCAGTTCTTCACTTCAGAGACTTTTTGGGCTGGGGCAAGAGGGGCTCCTTGTCCAAACCGATTCAAGTAAGTCCCCAGACCCGCAGGTTTAAAAAAGGGAGGGGAGGGGGCTCCAGGTCTACATTTCAGGACAGTACCTGGCGTGTCTGAGCTCAGAGTGCGGGGTGGGGGTTGGCGTGCAGGAATCGCGCTTACGGAAGACCTGGCTTCTAGGGAAAGCCAAACAGGGCCCACTCAAGGGCTGAGGGGCCAAGCACGGTTCCCCTCTCCTCCACAAAGCACCCGAGGGTGGGTGAAGAACCCATGCCCTCTCACGCCTACAGTGAGAGGCTCTGCTCAGCGGGGCTGCACCCACCCACCCCTCCCGGGGAGCCTCGCCCGCCTCGCACGAGAGCAGAGCCGCAAGCCAGCCCAGGCCCCAGCTGCCGGGAGGACGTCAGCAGGCTCGGAAGGGCCCGAACTCGCCACCTTCCCCACGCAGCAAAGTCCGCCCGCCCGCGATCGGCTTCGAGAGACGCGCGCCCCCCGAAACTAGCGGAGAGGTGGGGGAGTCGCTGGCAGGAGGGCGCGCGCCCCGGAAAGACGCTCCAGCCCACAGGGCCCACACACAAACACACAGACACACACACACACACACACACACACAGTTCCCAGAAGCCGGGAAAAGAGAAGCCAAAAAAAAAAAAAATCTCAGGCCGAGAACGCGCACGTCGGCGGCCATGCGCCCCGTGAAGGCCGCACGGCGCGCGCGCACCCGAGCGCCAAGGGGGGGGGAGCAGCAGAGGTTCGGGCGCGCTCCCGCGCCGGCGCGCGCACGCCGCGCCCACCCGCCCCGCCGCCCCTCCCCCACCGGCGGGGGCAGCCGCGAGCCCGGGGACGTCCGCGGCCGGCGTTGCCCCCCGAAGGGCTCCCGCGCCCCGCGGCAGCTGCCCGGCCGCCCCCGCCCCGCCGTTGTGTGTGTGTGTGGGGTGGGCCCAGTGTCCGCAGGCCCGCGGCCTTCCGGGAGCCCCGTTCCCCAGCAGAGCCCTCACCCGGCGACGCCACCGCCGCCGCCGCCGCCGCTCTCCCCGCCGGCCCCGCCGCACCGCCCGGGGCCCCGGTTCTGCCGTCGCCGCTCCAAGACCGACAGGATTTTCTCCTCACAGCTCCCTGGGCGCCATCTTACATTCAACCCTCACAGCCAATGGGGGCCGATGGATCCTCTCGCGAGAAGCTGAGGGTCGGATCACGCGAGAAGTAGGGGCTGCCTCCTGGCCAGACTTAAAGGGGACGCTTCCACCCGGGAGGGAAGGCCGCGCCTTTGGCCCAGGAGGCGAGACGTCCCAGCCCAGGCTGCGTCGTGGCTGGGTGGCCAACGGGTCGGCCCGCCCCTGGACGCCCCTCCGTGAGGGGCGGAGCCAGGCACGGGGTCAGCGGGGGATCGGCCTGGCCGCGGAGCCGGAGCCCACCTTCCGCCGCCCGCCGGAGCCTCCTCGGGTGGTGCAGCCCCACGCGGGGCGGGGCCCAAGCCGGCTCGGCCTCTGCGTTAAGGTGGTCCCCCGACACCCCCGAGCTGGGCCCGGCGTCTCGGAGCGAGGACCCCCGGGGAAGCCCTCCGGTCGTGTACTGCCTGGAGCACCCAGCACCCAGGGACCCCCGGGCCGCGGGCTGCGAGCCCAGCGTGGCCGTGCACAGGCAGGGCCACCTTAAAGGAAGCCTCGGGTAGCCCGTGTTTGTATACAGGGAAAATGTGGAGGGCATTAAAGCTGCAGGCGCCCCTCACCCAGGAGCTTCTGCGCTGCCCCTGCAAACCAAGCAAACCTGCCTTGGAGCCTCCCTAGAACATGCACCTCTCCCAGCCCCGCACCAGGACCAGCTCCCACATAGTGCTTGGTGACCACGCGTAACTTGGAGTGGCTTGATTGCCTGTGCCCGACACACTTAGGGCGCTGAGCAGGCCCGCGGGCAGGTGGAGCATCCCCAAAACCCGTTCTGGGATGTGCACAGGCGCGCGCGCGCTCTCTCTCTCTCTCTCTCTCTCTCTCTCACACACACACACACACACACACACACACACGAATGTCCCTGGGAGCCCCCCAGATGCTGCAAACACAGATCACACACGGGCTCCAGTGTGGAGGGGGGCTTTAATTGTCTTTATTGCCCTGGAGTCAGGGCCGGCAAAGCCTAACCCCAGCTTCCAGAAGAGGTAGGTAGGTTCGTGACGTCTCCAGCTTACATCTTCCCAGGGTCCTCTCGCAGTGTGACAGTCCTATTGAACACGAGCTGGAAGGCAGGGGGGGAATGAGCATCAACCCAGGCCTCTTAGCTCCCTCTTCATCATGGAGGATGTGAGGGACCAAAGGCCAGGAGTCCTGTAGCGATGGGCTCTTGCTAACTTCAGGACTTGGGTTGACAGCCTGGCTAGCTCTGACAAACCTCAGGTCTGCCCCCTGATTTAAGGATTAGTTAGGGTGGGGGCTGCACTTGAGTGGGTGCATGGACGTAACTGGGGCCGGCCATCCACAGCAGAGGACCGCCCCTCCATGATGGGGACAATCCACAAACAGGACACAGGCCAAGCGTGTGGCACCGTGGACCGCAGCCAGTGTCACTGGCACGGAGGGGAAGCCTAGCACCTTTCCAGGGCGGCTGTCTGGGTCCACGGAGAAGTAGCCAAGGCGCTCAAACTGGAACTTGTCGAAGGGCTTTGCCAGGGCCACGGAGCTGTCCACCAGCGCATCCTCCACCACTCTCAGCGATGCCTGGAAGCGAGGCAGTCAGGCGGCAACCCAGCCCAGGAAGGAGGCCTGCCCCTCTGCATGCCCCACAGACCTACCGGGTTCAGGTCACTTAGGAATCCACCAGGCACTTCTGTGGGATCTTCTGGATTCTTGTGCTGGAACCTGGAGCCAGAGTGGAGGGAGTGAGCTCTCCAGCTGGGCAGCTGCAACAGTGCCCACCTGGGACCCAGACCCACCCCAGTTAGGCTCACTTACAGCCGCTCATAGAGGCGGATCTCACACGTCAGGGGCTGTGACACCCAGTGAATGAAGGCCTTGGGTTTTTCACCAGCATCTGCCCGTCTGCAGGTCACCTCCAAGCTCTGCACGGAGCCATCGGGGCCCTGGAAGGGATGGAGTGCAAGGCAGCCTCATTCAGGGGGACCCAAGAAGACCTGGCAGGCAGGCACTGCAGCGGGCAGGCTGCAGCTGGCTCTCACCTTGACGAGGCGCTGCAGCTCAATGACGTAGCCTGTATGCCGGAGGCCCACGGGCTGGCCAGACGCCAGGCGCTTATAGCCTGGCTCTGGCTCCTAGAGGGAGTAGGTAGGATAGACCCCAGAGGCTGCAGGGGTTAAAGAAAGCAGGAGTGGCTTCTCCCCAGCCCCCAAGCTGAGCAAAGGTTGGCTCAGAGGGGCAGGGGAAGACTCTAGGACCCCAGGAAGAGACACTCTAACCCGCCCTCACCTCCTTGAAGTCTGTCCTCTCAATGAAGACAACAGGTGTAAAGGGAACTTGGTGGAAGCCTTTGGTTTCATCTGCTGGGAAGTTGGGCACCTGGATTTGCATGGACTGTCGAGCACAAAATGCACATCTGTCATTCCAGACACTTTGACCGCCCCCCTTCCACATGCCCAAGCCTGGCTAAATACCCCAGCCACACCCTCACCCAAACACAGGTAGAGGCGGGCCCACCTGAGCAGCAGGAAAGTTGGTGATGACAACCCGTAGTGACTCCAACACAGCCATGGCCCGAGGGGCCATGTCATTCAGAACATCCCGCACACACGCTTCCAGGAGATGCGGCTCCATTGTGGTCTGGGCCACGGTCACTCCAACCTGGTAGGCCAGTTCAGCGTTGAGTCCCAGCCCGAACTGCAGGTCATTGCCCTCAGCCCACACCTGCCCCTCCAGACCAGTGGTTGTACCCGGGCACAGAAGTTGTTGATGGCTTCAGGTGGGAAACCCCGCCGTCTCAAGGCTGTGAGCGTGAAGAGCCGGGGGTCATCCCAGTCCCTGTAGGTGAAGGAGGTGTGAAGTTTTTGCCTACGAGGTCACTAGTACCACCTTGGGGGATTTTGGTTTCATAATTTAAGGAGACTGAAAGAGTGTTCCCATCCTCTGTTTTATTCCCCAATGTTTGCAATGGCCAGGACTGGACCTGATTGGAGAGCACAGAACTCCACCCAGGCCTCCTGGTAGCAGAGACCTCCCCCCCGCCCCCCCGACTACCGCAGTCATTACCAACTACCTCACATAAGTACCAAACTACACTGGCAGAAAGGTACACCTGGAGCCAGGAATCAAACCGAGGCCCCTGATCTGGGATACGCCATCTTAATCCATAGGCTATACACCTGCCACTACTATCCCCACCCCAAGCCTGCTCCCAACTCTGAGCAGCCAAATGACAACACGTACCGCACAGCACCAGCTGCTACAAGCTGGAGGATCTTCCTCTTGGAGACAACAGCATAGTGCAGGTTAAGACGGCCATATTCCCACTGGACGGGGCAGTAGACATCCAGGGCATTGCACAGCCAGAAGTAGGAAGAGCGTCTAGGGAGAGGGCAGGGCTGGGGCTAGGACTGACACCTCTGAAAATCACGGAGACCACGGAAGGGCTGTGAGAATCCCTCTGGCCCTGCCAGCCCTGGGGACTTGGGCTCCTCACCGGGCCTGGAATTCCTTGGTGCAGAGGGAGTGTGTGATGTGTTCGATGGAGTCACAGAGGCAATGGGTGTAGTCGTAGGTGGGGTAGATGCACCTGTGGCACATAACGACCAGGTCCCCGATCCTCGCCATCTCCTACCGCACTTGCTCCATGGCCCAGCCCCATCCCATGCCCTCCCATGCCCTCACCTACCATCTGTCCCCTGTGCGGTGATGCGGTACGTATTTGACACGATAGGCTACTGGGTCCAGCTTGCCATCCTCCATCACCAGCTTCATCCGCAGCGTAGCCTCACCCTCTGAAAATTTGCCCTTGCGCATTGCCTGGAAGGAGCAATGGGTTGGACTCTCTCTTCAGCACGGCCCATCTCATCCTCAGTATCTTAGGATGCCACCCAATGCCGGCTGCCCCGCTAAAGGACCCCACCTCAAACAGCAGCAGCGACTCCTCTACAGGACGGTCCCTCCAAGGTGAGGGCAGGGTGTTGTGGCCCTTGAGCTCCTCGCCTCGCTGGTGGCACACGTAAGCCTGACCCCTGTGGGGGAAGAAGCGATAAGTGCGCATACGCTGCTCAGCCTACCTGGCTGGGCATCACCAGGTACTAGGTCTCACCTGCGAATGAGCTCCACAGCCCAGGCATATAACTGGTCGAAATAGTCAGAGGCGTAAGTCACCTTGTATGGTGTGTAGCCTGGGGCAGAAAGAGAACGGATGAGAACAACCCACAGAAAAACACATCGCGTGGCAGGTCAGGGCTCAGGGAGGGGTCCACTGACAACCAGACCCTGCCAAACCTCACCCGGTCCATACCCAGCCAGGCCACCATGTCAGCGATGGCAGTGAAGAACTTGGCTTCCTCCTTCTCAGGGTTGGTGTCATCAAAGCGCAGGAAGCAGATACCGTTGTTGGCCTAGGAGAGTGTGTCTGTGAGCTCCCACATGGTCCACGAGCCCCCAGCCCAGCTCGTGAAACTGGGACATCCTTAGAGCTCTCCTGGGTTGGAGCTAAACATTACCTTCAAAAACCTCCCTCTCCTTCTTGCACCTAAATGCAGCACCAGCATCCCACATGGGTGTCAGTTTGAGTCCAGGCTGGGGCAGGCTAAAGTTAGAAGCTTCTTCAGGGATTCCAAGATGGGTGCAGGACCCAAGTACTAGGGCTTTTCCAGGTGATTAGCAGGGAGCAGCTAGGACTCAAGCCTAGCTGGCATTGCAGGCAGCAGCTTAGCTTGTAATGCCACAATGCCAGCCCCTTCCTGAGCCAATTTGAATTCGCTAACTGCCACCTTGAGATTTTTTTTTTTCCCAACAAGTCTAAGGAGTCCCAGGAATATGTCACAAGTGGCATCTATGACCTTTCCCTGGCTAAGCACAAGACAAGAAAGACCCACATTCCAGATCTCTAACCACAGGAGCAATCAGTGATGACCCTGCTGGCCAGGTCCCTGACGCATGCTCACCTTGGCATAGCCAAAGTTGAAATTGATGGCTTTAGCATGTCCAATGTGTAGAATCCCATTGGGTTCTGGTGGAAACCGGGTACGAACCTGTGAGAAGTAGGGATGGAACAAGAGACATGAGGTCAGAGTTTGGACTACCCACCCTCCCTTCCTGCTAGGGAGGCTATGGCAGTGGATGAGGACATCTGGTGGCGGCTGGCCTGGCCGTGATCCCACGTACCTGCCCCCCTGTGATTTCTAGGTGCTGCTTCAGGAGATCCATGGTGTGTGGGGTGGTCACATAGCCTGGAGTCTTGTAGTTCTCCCCTGCCAGGGCCAGAACAAGCCTGAGGACCCATCTACAGACCAGGGCCTAGCAACAGGGCTCCCAGCCAAGGTGGCAGCCCTGGCTGGGGCACTAACTCAGCCACTCACCAGGCTTATGGAACTTAAGGGCCTCCCCGCGCAGCTGTTCCAGCAGAGACAGGGTCTGACCAACGGGCTCACCTACAGTGAAGAAACTACAAATTTGTCCTCTGGCTACAGCTGCTGTACGCAGCACAGAGTTACCACAAGCCTCTCACCGTTCTCCACCAAATCCTTGGCAGTTTTGCGGTCTGGCTCTTCAGACCGAGCCTTCACCACCTGAAAAGAGCCCCAAAACTGTGTCAGCATCTCTCCTGGGTGGGGAGTTGGGATTACTGAGGCCAACACTCCCCGATATCTCGCCCTCCCCCTGACCTCAGTCCCCACCTTGGGCTTCTTCTCCAGATCAGCCTCCATCTTGGGACCCAGCAGGTGGAGGACCTAAGCAGAGAGTGGTCAGGCAGAGCCAGCAGTGTCCTGTTCCCAGCTGCCCCGGCTGACCCCACCCACCACCCACCCAAGAGCCTCAAAGAACTGTTCCCACCCCAAGTGCACCCCACATCATATTTTCATGGGGTTCTGCAGACCTCACATGCTTTCTACCTCCTGAGGGGGCACATTAGACCCACACAATGTCCTGCCCACACCCTCCTGTGATTCTGTACCAACATCCCTGGACAAGGGCCCTACTGGCCTTACTTTAGGGAAACAGACACCAGGGATCTGAGAAGGAGGGGCAGAACCCAGGAACCCCTCCACTCATCCATCCTCAAGTGGGCTCCAGGCCTTCTTCTGGAACAGTCTAACCAGCATCCAGCTCAGGAAGGTGCCTACCTGCATGTCCACCTCATGCTTGATCATTTTGCCATCTGCCCACTTGAGTGCAGCGCGAGCCTCTCCTAGAAGCGTGTGCAGAGGAAACTGTGGAAGGGGTCCAAAGAGAGCACACCCTACTCTCTTTCCCCGGAAAAGGAAACAGGGCCTGGGTCCAGCCAGACCACAGGCTCCCACCTCCTGCTCTAACAATGTAGCATGACCACAGAGAGAACGACAGAGCCCCTGCTCACCCATCAATAGCCCCATGTTGAAGTGGTAACGTTCAGCCAAGAGCTGGGGCCGGTGCCTGTTGATAGTGGCCTCCACCTGCAGCAACACAAGCCATATTGTTCAGGAGGGTTCTCTTTTGTGGAACCCACACTCCCACTCCCTGAGTTTGAAAGTAGGGGTCTGGAGAGGAAGCCCCATGGCTGGGGACAAAAAAGACTCACGGGGCCTGGCCCCATAGCTTAGTGGTTAAAGTCTTCACCTCGAACGCCGCCCAGATCCCATATGGGCATCAGTTCTAATCCCAGCAGCGCCACTTCCCATTCAGCTCCCTGCTTGTGGCTTGGAAAAGCAGTTGAGGACGGCCCAAAGCCTTGGGACCCTGCAGCCACCTAGGAGACCTGGAGGAGGTTCCTGGCTCCTGGCTTTGGATTGGCGCAGCACTGGCTGTCGCGGTCACTTGGGGAGTGAACCATAGGATGGAAGATCTTCCTCTCTGTTTCTCCTCCTCTCTGTATATCTGACTTTTCAATAAAAATAAATAAAAAACAAAACTCACGGCCTCTTCAATCTGCTCTGGGGTCACCATGACACCCACGCCACATTCCTGCTCAAAGTCCCGGACGTCGATGGGGTCCAGGGGGTGGCTCCGCACATACTCTAGGGCAGCTGCGAAAGGGACAGTTGGTGAGTTGGTGGCATCTCGGCATCAAGCGGCGGACAAAAGAAGGCCCCATGCCCGAGAAACCTCACAACGGAAAAAACGCCTGTGTTCCCAGGGAGGAGCGGGTGGGGTGGCTCCCGGCAGACTTCAGTGGACACCCCCATCAGTGTCACTATTGTCCCTACCTGCAAGAAGGAACTGGGCTAGGGTGGGAGGACTTGGCAGGAAGCTTGGTAGAAAAGGCAGAAAAAAAAGGCCCCAAAAGCTGAAGGAAAGGATTCCTGTGAAACTGGCAGGACAAGCAGGAGTCTCACCGCTGAGCTGCAGTTCCGTGCGGATCTTTTTGCTGGCTATGTAGTTCACGAGGAAAGAGAGACGCCGGGGGTCTCGGAGTCGGGAGGCCAAGCCGTACAGCAGCGTCCCAGTAGCTTTGTCGATGGTGGAGCCCAGAGTCTGCTGCGCCTGGAATCAGAGGGGTCGGGGGAGAAGCCCCACAAGCTCAGTGAGAGGGAGGGACACCCGCAAGGCACAGTGGCATCAGCGCCGGCCGCACGAGGCGCAGGGAGCCGCTCGCTCGCTCGCACCTGGGTGGCCGCCTCGCGCAGCTGCGCGCTCAGAGCCGCGTTCTTGAGCGTCTCGCGGGCCTTGAGCTCGCTCAGGCCGAGGCCGGTGAAGAGCGACAGAGAGTCCGCAGTCGCCATGACCAGGTACCGGAAACCAAAAGAAAGTTTGGGTAGAGTCGGCGCGTCGGCATTCACCCTCTGGCCAATAGGAAGGCGAAGCTTAGGAGCGACCCAATGGCGTCAGGCCTAGGATAGAGGAGGCGGAACTCTGCGGGGTTGTAGCCGCCATTTAAGGGACCCAAGGCCGACGAACAGGCTTCTTGGGGCGTTTGGCCTCGGCCCTCTTGCGTCAGCAAGAGCTGGAGGCAAAGCGTTGAAATCCGAGGCGTGAGGAAAAGCGGGCGTGACCCTTGGCTGTTTGGCGTTACTCCTTCAGCGCCTAGGAACTGCCTCCCCAAACTGTTCTCAAATGTGAGTTCCCGTCGCATATCTTAACGTCACGGCTTTGGCGTTGTCATGGAAACCGTTACCCAGCCCCCCCCCCCCCAGTGAAGTCTGGGCGGTCCGCGGACCAGACAGCATCACATATCATGTGAGGAACGGCCCAGCCAAGGTTTCTCAGGCTGGGGGAGACACGCCAGGGAAGAGGCAGGTTCAGTCCAGTTGGACTCTCCGACAGTAGATCTGTGACATTTTGGTTTAGAACATCGTGCCACATGCAGCGCCTCCCCTCTCCTTGCCAAAGGATGCATTCATGAGACACTACAAGCTACATAGACCTTGACATGTCTGCAGGCCTTTTTGGAGGGTATTTGAATGAGGCTGAGACCGAGGAACTGGAGTCCTAAGGATGGCCATTATGCTTGAGGCATTTTCCGGTCTCCCTGGACTCAGGACCTGCCAGCTAACCACAGCTTAGAGCAGTGTCCTTTGCATATGGGGGGCTGGTGGAATGATGGGCAGGGAAGCCCTCAGTCTGGAGACGTGGGACTCTGGCTCTTGGAGGCTTTGGGGTCCCTCAGACTTCTAAACCTTCATGAACATGTTAGCATCCACATCCCTGTACTCTGCCTGGGACCCGCCAGTGACTGAGCTTGTTGCCTGAGTGCTAAATTCTGCCCAGGGTCACATGCGGTGAACCTCGTTGTTCTCATCTACTCCCGTATCCTGTGGCTTCCCGTGCCTCCATGGCTCCCTTCAGCTGGCCTGGACTGTATCACATGAAGACGGCCAGGTGTGGGGGTTAAGCAAGGGATACCACAGCCGGGCCCTGAGGAGCACAGCCACGCCAGCCCTGTGCCAAGTCTGCTGCTGCTGCTGAAGCCCAACACCCATCCCCCACAAACATGCCCTTGATGAGCAGAGCCCCATAGCATGCCTGCCACAGCTACCATCTTGTCAGCACTCAGTACTACCAAAAGGGTTCCCTGCAGGACCTTCACCAGCTCCTGCCAGTCCGGCATTGTTTCCCGTCCCTGTGAATGTTAAAGCTCAGCCCCCACCCCCACAGTGCAACCAAGAATGGCATCAGTGGCAGCAGCAAGTACAAATGACTGGCCAGTCCTCTGAAGCCCAGAGATTTGCACAGAGCAGAAACATGATAGTGTACAGACTCAGCTGGTGGGAGGAGGGGGTGGCAGGTAGCCTGCTTCTGTAAGCTCCCGACAGCCTTCAGAAAAAACCCAGATGTCCAAGGAGAAAAGCCTGACAGCAGCCAGCAACACCCGCTGTAACAAAGAGGGAGAGCCCCAGGGGTACAGGTTTAACAGTCTAGAGACTGTTGAAGGGTCAGTGCTGGTGGCCATAGGCTGCCTCAGGCACAATGCCACCAAGGGGCATAGTGTGGTGGGCTCAGTAACAGCCTGGATGTGGAGCTGGACAGTCCTTTGAACTGTGCACACAGCATGTGCAGACCATACTGGCCTCCCATCCCCCACCCTGCAGTCCCTGCTGCAGTAACCCCAGCTGCCAGCATCAGCACATGGGTCAGCAACTTCACGGCTTCCGTCAAGGCCCTCGCACAATTCTCCAGGCCTTTGTCCAAAGTCAGCAGCTCCCTCCCTTAAGGGTGAATACTTCTGACGAACAGGGCGGGCCCAGGCCACACCCACCACCATCATTGATTGCAAGGTGGATGGGATTGGGGAGGGTCAACCCTGGGTTCTGAGGGCTAAAACTTCCAGCAGCCTGTTGGCTGCTAGTGGGTGCCAGGCCGGGATTGTCTTTATGCTTGCCACCAGGTACACGCAGTGAGCTGTCCCCAGGCTTGCCTGAGCTCCAGAGGCTGCTCCCTTAATGGTGAGTACACGGAGAAAGGAAGTCTGGAGAACAGGGCGGGCCCAGGCCCCACCTGCCACCAACATTGCAAGGTAGATGGGATTGGGGAGGGGCAACCTTGGGTTCTGGGGTTTAAAATTCCAGCAGCCTATTGGCTCCTAGGCCGGGATTGTCTTCATGCTTGACACTGCATACACAGAGGTGAGCTGTGACACCAAACTCCGCCTGCTGGCTGCCCAGCAGCCAGTTCTGGGGTTTGAGGCTTTGAATTGCTGCTTAGGTAGCTCCATGTTGAGCCCACTATGCTTCTGTTTTGTTTGTTTGTTTGTTTCCAAATCAATCCTGAAGACTACAAACCACAAAGTAACTTTTCCTTTGAAGGTAAGTGAGAGTACTGAGGCCTGGTAGGTTGGAGGAGAGAGACCAGATGATCTTTATGGATAAGACTGATATACCAGCCTCCTTTGAGTCATGTGTAGAACTTGTTATCACTGAACAATGCTGATCACTGAACATAAGTCCATGCAAATGCTAAGGCTTGGGGCTTGTCTAGCAGGACCATATCCTATTATCTGACATAATGATAGATCAGGAGATGGGTCACATCAGGCATGGACATGACATCAACTTGTACACAAGAGAACCATTTCCAGGGATAGATTCCGTAGGATATGTGTGGGCCAAACCCCATGGAAATACTAGCCCTAGCCCCCCTGGTTAGCTCAAGAGTTGGGGTGGTGATGGACTAAGCTAGATGTGACCAAGGAGCCTGCCATCACTCACAAGTAAAGGAACCGAACAGTCTGGATTAGTCAAGGCAGCAGCACCCAAGTGTGCATCCTAAACAGGGTGTGGGGTGGGCCGGGCTGCAATGTTCACCAGCTCATACAAGGACAATCGGAAGGCCAGTCTATGCTGGACACTAGCCTAATATCCACTGGCATATATGAGAACTGGGTTTGGGAGTGGGTCAAGTGGAGGAACTTGGGAAACTCCCCTAGTGGGTCATAGCTCCCGCTGGTGAACACATGGTCCAGACCTGGGAGTCAGACAAGCTGGACAAAGTAGCTCCAGTGGTTGGCTAATGTGTGGGTTGGTAGTGGAATGGGGTGGACCAGGCAGAACTGAACAAATCTTAGCTCACACGCAAAATTAGCAACCAGGATGGAGCGCAGGTCATGCCTGAGCTAGGCTCTTGCACATGCTGGTCTGCATGAGCCAGGGTCAATAAGCCACAGCATCTAAAGCAGGGGCTGGGACAGGTGAGGGGCTGTGCCAAACTGAGTTAGAGCAACCAGTGGCATGCGTATTATCTATGGCTGGGAACAGGCCTGGTTGGGGAGTTAAAGGGACACCCTAGCTGGGTTGAGATTCCCACCAAGAAGCATGGGGGCTGGAATGAGGGCTGCGTTCTGATCTGGATATCAGATCTCCCTTGGCACAAGTATTGGCTGGGACTGGACTTAGCAAGCCAGGTTAGACTCCAACACCATCTGGTGCTCTGGAGGACCAGGGTAGATGTGGGACGGACTACGCTAGGTCTCGGCCCCTACTGAGCCATGTGTGAGCTGTGTGTGGGTATGGAAGAGCCTTAGCTGGGCTGAAACATCCAACAGTAAGAATCAGATTGGGGGCCCGGTGGCGTGGCCTAGCGGTTAAAGTACTTTCCTTGAACACGTGTCAGGATCCTATATGGGCGCTGGTTCTAATCGCAGCAGCTCCACTTCCCATCCAGCTCCCTGCTTGTGGCCTGGGAAAGCAGTTGAGGATAGCCCAAAGCCTTGGGACCCTGTATCAGTGTGGGAGATCCTGAAAGAAGTTCCTGGTTCCTGGCTTCGGATTGGCGCAGCACTGGCCGTTGAGGCCACTTGGCGAGTGAATCATCGGACAGATCTTCCTCTCTTTGTATCTCGTTCTCTCTGTACATTTGCCTTTCCAATAAAATAAATAAATCTTAAAAAAAAAAAAAAAGGTCAGCAGCTCCACCAGAAAAAGGCGAAGACCAGTCACAGGACTAGCCTGTTCCAGGAACTCCCCTCTGCTCACCGCTATCTCTAACTCCAACTGAGGCTGAGTTATCTAATTCTCATGAGACTGACCCCATGAGTTTGGGAGTATGCCTAAAGGGCTCCCCAGACCTTGCCCTACCTCTGTTTCTGTCTCTCTCTCTGGCTTTTCATTTATTTGAGAGAGAAATCTCCAATCTGCCTTTTCACTCCCAAGAAGCCCACAACAGCCAGGCCTGGGTAGCTAGGCAGACATCAGGAGGCAGCTCTCCTGAGCAGTGGCAGAGCCAACTTCTTGTGCCATTACCTGCTGTCTCCTACAATGTGTATTAGCATGAAACTGGGAGAGACGGGAGAGCCAGAACTCAAACTCAAGCGTAGTAATATATGAGGCCCAGGTCCGCATCCCAAGATGATGTATTAACTGGCACACCCAACACCAGCCCCCTTCTTGGAGTACATCTGCTCTCCATCTTCCTCCAGCTACAGCTGTGCACCCTACCCTCCAAGAAATGCAGAGAGGGCAGCACTGACTGCCACAAAAGAAGGCAAGGCTTCTCAGCATCAGCCTTGTTGGCGTAGTGGGTAAAGCTGCAGCTTGCATTTCCGGTATCCCATATAGCCATGGGTCTGAGTCTCAGCAGCTGTCCTTCTCACTGAGCCCTGTGCTAATGTGCCTGGGAAAGCAGGGAAAGATGGCTCAAGTGCTTGGACCCCTACACCCATGTGGAAGACCCAGAAGAAGCTCCTAGATCCTGGCTTCAGGCTGATGCAGTCCTGGCCATTCTGGGGCCATTTAGGGAATGAACCAGTGGATGGAACATCTCTCTCTCTCCATCTGTGACTCCGCCTTTCAAATAAACAATTTTTAATTTTTTAAAGGCTTTTTCGAAG